TGGAACCGGGGATTGAACTCAGGCCCTTGCACTTGCCAGGGAAGCGCTTATTCTACTGAGCTATCTCCCTGGCCCTGCAGTTTTTTAAAAAGTGTAACCAAGGGATGCAGCGTAGTGGTAGAACACTTGCCTCATAGGTATGGAGCCCCAGGTTGAACTCCAGCACCCAAACACACAAAACTCATTGGAAGTATATACCACTACATAATTACAGTAGGCATTCCAAGGTGTTTGCTAATCTGCAATTGATGTGAAATAGGGAAAAGGAAAAATCTACTGAGTAGCTACTGTTGTTATAGCTGCTGTGTGCATAAATAAATAAAGATTCTTCTGCTTTTCTATTTGTCTAGAATGCTTTTCAGTCAGCTGTGGTGGTGCCCATCTGTAATCCCAGCCCTCGGGAGACTGAGGCAGGAGGATTGCCACAAGGTTAAGACTAGCCTGGGCTGCCCACACTGCAAAACCCTGTCTTAAAGAAGAAACAAAGGAGTTGGGGACATAGCTCAGCAGTGTAGCCCTTGTCTGGCAAGCACAAGGGTCTGAGTTCATTTTCTGGTACCCATAAAAGCTAGTACTTTTCAAAGGTGCTCTGACAAAAAAAAAAAGCCCCTTAGGGGCTAAGGAGATAGCTCAGTGAAAAACACTTCCCTGGCAAGCGCAAGGGCCTGAGTTCAATCCCCTGTTCTGCCAAAAAGAAAAACCCCACAAAGGTGCTCTGTTTCAGATCCAAAGTGTTCCCCAAAGTCTCGTGTCCAGAAGGTCATTGGTGACAGGGTCCCATACAGTCGCTAATGTGCCAGGGAGATGGCTCAGTAGAACAAGCACTTGCCTGGCAAGCGTAAAGGCCTGAGTTCAATCCTTGGTTCTGCAAAAAAAAGAAAAGTTTTGGGGCCTGGAGAGATAGCTCAGTAGAATAAGCACTTCCCTGGCAAGCACAGGGTCCTGAGTTCAATCCCTGGTGCCACAAAGAAAAAAAGAGAAAAGTTGCTACTATTCCCCATACAGTCACTGACAAGTTCAGTAGCTGAACATGCCGTTTTGGAGGCGGGGCTGCGGTGGGTGCGTTCTCAGCCCATCCCTGTGCCCCGTGAGCTTTCCTGTGCCCTGCCGCTCCTGCCGACCTTGGGCGAATCCGCTGAAGCCGTGGGCCAAAGTAATCACCTCCTCCCTCAAGCTGTGAGCGTCAGGTACCATGTCTCAGCCGTGAGAAAGCCTCTTTGCATGCTAGGCCTGGGTTCCTGGTTTTTTCTTAATGTGACAGTTTTTCCTGCAACTGAGGGGGACTGGCGCCTCCTAGCCACCCTGCCCACCTGGAGCAAGACGTAGGGCACAGAAGGGAGCTGTCTGGGGATCTTGCACTCGGAGCCCTTGGCAGCGGCGCGGGGTGGGGACAGCTCCCTGGAAGGGGACTCGGAGTCTAAGGGCAAGCGGCACTGTCTTGCTTCCCTCTGTTCTTTTTCTGTGATCCAGCTGGTTTATGTTCAACGTGTGTTCACATTAAGCAAAAGTTGTCAAGTTGGTTTTCCCCTTTTCCTGCATTTTGAGCATATGTTCAAAGCCTAGCCTTTGGCTAGCAACACAGAAACACATCATAGGTATTTTTGGTGGGTGGTGGTAGTGGGAATTAAACCTAGTGCCTTCTCAGTTTCGGTCTCATGTCATGTACATCTAGTACAGCAGCTGATGGCAGAAACCAGCGCACATCTGTCTACACGATTACAGCACACTGCCGGTGCTGTGTGATGTTACGATGGCCTTATAAGGAGAGGCAGTGTGCTTCACTCGGAGTCTTGGAGTGTCACAGCCCAAGGCTGGGCTGGCAGGAGCAGATATGCCACCGTCTCTTGTAAGGGCGGCACACTGCCCTGGAATCATGTGAAGGGGTGACAGTCACATCTCATGCCAGGTCCAGGCTGGGCAGGGGCCCATGGCTTCTTTCGTGAGCATACCCCACTCAGCGTAGGGTGTGCCCCTGGGCCTCTTCAGGTGGCTCAGTGCCTCTCAGTCCCAGCATCCTGGGGACCCAGCCCCCCACACAGGCCTTCAGGACACTCGTGCGTTCCCAAAGGGCAGTCCATGCGTCACTTGTTTTTTAGCTAAATGAGCTCGAGACAGATGAACTGTCCCATCAAGCTCTATTTAATAGATTTAAATTTATATTTTAAAAGTTTCTTTTAATAATAATTTAGAGCTGGAGAGATAGCGTAGCGGTTTATGCATCAGGCTCTACAGCACGACTTTGCAGGTTCGAGCCCCCACCCTGCCCTTACTTATTGGGGCCAAGGAAATGGCTTAGTGGAATAAGCGCTTCCCTGGCAAGCGAAAGGGCCAGAGTTCAATCCCCAGTTCTGCAAAAAAAAAAAAAAAAGATAATAATAATTTAGGCAGTTGCCAAGGCCTGGGAGAGAACTGGGAGTGAATACTAGTATAGGTAGGCCACAGTCAGTCTTGTCAGTGGCACAAGAATGATCATGATTTCATCGGGTGTGGTGGTGTACTCCTGTAATCCCAGCACTCGGGAGGCTGAGGCAGGAGGATCCCTGTGAGTTTGAGACCAGCGTGGGCTACATAGTGAGTTCAAGGCCAGCCTGAACTACATAGCAAGATCCTGTATACAAAAAAAAAAAAAAAAAAAAACAGAATGGTCAAGATTTCATAAACACTGCTCTAGGACAGCAGATTGCATACGGAAGGTAGAAAAAGTAAGAAATCAGAATGTGATGTAGAAACTCATCAATAAGGGTGGAATAATTCTCTTGCCAAAACCTGTGTGTTAGCTCATCATCCTGTGAGAAAATAATTTCCAAAGGGGGTCCATTTATTTGGCTTACACTCTTAGAGACTTCAGTCCTCAGTCCCATAGTGAGGTAGGACACCATAGTGGCAGGCTCATGGCGGAGGAGTCTGCTTGTCACCTGAAGGAGAAGAGAGGGAGAAGATGAGCTCGAATCCCAGTGTCCCACATCCCTAGGGACCTAGCTGTCCCCACCAGGCCTCACCTCCTAAAGGTCCCCCCATCCTCCCAGTAGTGACCCAGGACTGAGACCAAACACATGGCCCTTGCGGGTCATTAAGGACCCACACTGTGACCTCGTGTTTCTCTGGTAGCATGTCCTCAAGGATTTCCATACATTTGTTTGTCTTCCAGTGGACCCAAGCGCTATGACTGGACAGGGAAGAACTGGGTGTACTCCCACGATGGCGTGTCCCTCCATGAGCTGCTGGCCACAGAGCTGACTGAAGCCTTAAAAACCAGACTGGACTTGTCTCCCCTGGCCTATTCTGGAAAAGGCACCTGATGGCCTGCCCAGTTGTAAAGACATTAAGCCCTGCAAGCCCAAGATCCCAGCTTCCTTCCACAGCCGAGTGCCTGTTTTTTTTCCATTCCTACTTTTGAGAGCAGTCAGAAAATGTGTCAGCTCTGTGAAAAAAAATGTGTTAATACCCACCCTGCCCTGGAATCTGATTTTTAACTAATATAGATTTTTGTTTTGATTCTCTGATTACCTCCCTCACACGATACCTCTCATCTTCTATGATACATTATTCCCACGTTAATCCAGCAATAATCTTACAAAAAGAAAACAAGAAAAATCCCAGGAGGAGAAAAGAATTGTCTTCATTCTTCAAAGGATCTACTGCAGAAGCCACATGAGGAGCAGGTGGCCACCCTCACCATTCTGTCTGAAAGTGACACTCACTGAACTGAGTCTCTCCCAAAGCACTTCACTTCTGAGCCCCTTGGCATCGTCAAAAGAAACTCAAGCTGAAGACCACTCCCCCAGTGTGCTTTGGGACTTGTTGGGCTGTGTCTGCATCGCGCTGTGCAGAGGACCGGGTGCGTTTGCCTCCATGTGCCCTGTTACACACACACCCTGCTGTGTGCATGCACGCATGAACTTTTTCCTTAAAGTTTAGAAGCAGCAGGCTAGTGAGATGGCTCAGTGGTCTAAAGCACCTACTTGGAACAGGCTTAGCAAAGCACAGGGACCACGGTTCAATCCCCTAGCACCACATGCCAGCCAGCCCTGCCCCCTGGTGGGCTGAGCTGGCCACCCCCCACATAAAAAAAAAAAAAAAAAAAAGTTTAGAAGCAGCTGCTGTGCTACGAGTTTGAAATCCTCAAAGACAAGAAGGAGATTTTTTTTTTCCCCCACAAGCAGCGGTAGTGCTGTGAGGCTGAGGAGACACCATGCACATACGAGGGACAGACCGAGGGGAGACACTCAGCAACAAGCAGCGGTCCTGGACGGTGCTGCAGCCTGACGTGGGGCTGTGTGTGCACACATCCCCGACCTCTGCTTTCTCATCTGATAAGAATAGAATATAGAAAGGGCCAGCCAAATAGCTCAGCGGGGAGCTGGGGAAATGGCTCAGTAGAATAAGTGCTTCCCTGGCAAGCACGAGGGCCTGAGTTCAATTGCGGGTTCTGCAGTAGCTCAGTGGATTAAAGTACCTGCAAGCAGGCACAGGGGCTGGGTCTTCGATCCCTGGGCCTGCCCTGCCGGCCTCGCTCCGTGGCGTGCTGAGCCAGCAATTGAGACTGGGCGTGGGGGCCCACGCCTGTAATCCCAGCTCTTGGGTGGCTGTAAACAGGCAGATCACTACGAGTCTGATCTAGTAGTGAGACCCTGAACACCCTGTAGACCCTTCCCTAAAAAATACAGGAAAAAAAAAATAGAATATAGGGCTGAGGAGATAGCTCAGTGGTTTAAGCACCTGCCTGGCAAGCATAAGGTCCTGAGTTTGATCCCCAATACCAAAATAAATAAAAATAAAAAATAGAATATAATTGATTCTCAACATTCAGAGGTCCTGTCTGCAACCCAGTGGGCCAGCTTGAATTCCCACTAGGTAGCTGAAGGGGTGATTGGGATCAGTTTGCTAAGCAATAGAGTAAATACATTGTCACAGTTCTGATCTACGGGAATTTTGACAGAAGTCATGTAAAATACTACTAATTTCATTATACCCTCACCGTGGTAGCTTACCACACCATATGACTGTATTTTAAGTTATACATGAAGCAAAAAGATGCCAGAACATAAAACTGACCTTGAATTATTTTGTTTTGTTTTAAGGTGGTGATTGTACAGGGCATTGAACCCAGCATCTCTGTACTGAGCTAACATCCCTGGCTTTTTTTTTTTTTTGGCACATTCTTGCAAAGTTACCCAGTCTGGTCTTGAACTTTCAGTCCTCCTGCCCTAGCCTCCAAAATGCTAAGATTCCCGGTACACCACCATGCCTGGCTCAATCTTTTATTTTCTTACTAAGGAAAAGATTTAGGAGCTAGGGATATAAATAACTCCATGGTAGTGTTTTTCCTAGTGGTTCAATTCCCAGCACTGCAAAAAAAAAAAAGGAAGAAAAAGAAAGATTAGTGACCAGCCTATGTAAATGTGTAGGAAGGCTTTTACAATGGGTAAGGCAAACTTCTTCCAGCATAGAAAAAAGAAAAAAAAAATTAGCAGTAGAGCAGTATAAACAGATGCTAGTGGGTACTTAAGGTATTTCCTTTCCACAGAAATAAATGACTTGGTGGAAATTTTTGAGGGCAGTAATAGGGCAACGGCAGGATACGAGAAGTAAAACCACACGTGCGCATGCAAGGGAGCCTGCGAGGGGCTGTGCTTGCTCACACGCCTGCATCTCGCTTCTGGTGAAAGTTTCCTGGCCCCCCAGCCGCTTGGACAGCACGAGCCTCGAGTGAGCAGCGGGGTCACCATGAGGTGGACTGAAGCAGCCGGTGTCCAGGGTCAGGATGGGCAGTCAGGTGACGTCTGCCAGCAGGGTCTCCCAGGTAGCCAAGCTGCATAGGCCGGTGACAAGGTTCCCTGACAGATAGACTTGGTGTTGACCCGGTGTCTCAGGAGCTTGGAGACCAGCAGCGACCCTGTCACACTCTTCTATAATTTCACGGCATTTGGGGCAGGGAGGACACTGGAGTTGCTGATGCTGCCGCATCCACCACATGCTGCACGAAGAATACAAACTCTAAACGCTCCCACAGAAATACGACAGGAAACTTGCATCTTGAAAAGAAATGGAGGGGCTGGTGAGATGGCTCAGTGGTCTAAAGCACCAACTTCTTAGAACAAGCTTAGCAAAGCACAGGGACCGCGGTTCAATCCCCCAGCACCACATGCCAGCCAGCCCCGTCCCTTGGTGGGCTGAGCTGGCCACACACACACACACACACACACACACAAATAAATAAAATTAAAAAAGAAAAGAAAAGAAATAGAGTTTATCCAATGTGGAGGTCCAAAATGATGACTGTGGCTGCTGTTTGATATCACACAAAAGAATTTTTTTTTTTTTTTTTTTTTTTTTGGCAAAAGAATTATTTTAAACCAGGCATGGTGGCTCTTGCTTGTAATCTCAGCACTTCAGAGGCTGAGGCAGAAGGATTGCCATGAGTTCAAGGCCAGCCTGAACCTCATAATGAGACTATGCCTGAAAAATACAATTATCTTTACAATAAAGGACTTCCAAAATGATACAGAAGTTGTATGTTAACCTTAATAAATATTCTGTGGAAAGAAAAAAATGTAGAAAATTTAGATGGATACTTGTATCTTCTCATTTCTGTGTCTTTATGTGTGCCCTACTTACTAAAATATACATGTGAAAAACAAAGAAAAGCAGTCACAGAACCTGCTGGTGTGCTTCTCTGGGCCACCCCTTCAGGCTTATGCACTTTGACATTCCATATGGCCCTAACTGGTTGCATTATCCACACCCCAAGTCTAGGAAGACTCGGGGAAGGAAAAGGACTTGAAGCATATGGACAGTAGGCGGAGAGAGAAGCAGAGTCATGCTCCGGAGAGCCAGCTGGAAACAGCACAGCGTGGGCCGGTAGCCCCTCACCTCAGACCTGGGTGGGCTGCCTTAGTGTGAGGGGGGGGTATTTTAAATGTGATGATGCTTAGTGTGTTTTGTTTTCATGCTACTGGATTTTGAACCCAAGACCTTTACACTAAGCTATATCCCCAGTCCACCTTAATTTTTTATTTTGAGACAGAGCCCTACGATGTCACTAAGTATACACTGAGCTTGACCTTGTGATCCTCTTGCCTTGGCCTCCTGTACTGTGCACATTACCACACCTAGGTAATGTTTAGCCTCTACTGGCAAGACCCTCAGCAACACAGGAAATGAAACTATTCAGAATGACTGATGGCCTCTCAGAACTACAGAGGGAAATGTGAAAGAAATTTGAGTGTGACAGCATATAGCTAGATGTCCCCCAACCTGGATGTGCTCATAGGTGGCCTCTGGGGGATCCCTGGACCATGGCTGTGTAATAGTGGATTAAAGGTTGTGGTGACTGGGTTACTCCCTGCTCGGTTTACTATCACTCTGGGTGTGGATAATGGAAAGTCCCACGCTAAGTGAAGGTGGCACCAACCAATAGGCTTGCACCCTGGATGTAATAAAAAGGGGAAGGAAGGCTCCCTGCCTGCTGCTTCCTGCCTGCCCTACTATGGACTGTTTCCTCTTCCTTCTGCTATGCTGCCCAGGCTTGGACCCAACCACTTGTGGACTGAGATAAAATAAACCTTTCCTCCCTTAACTTGTGGATATTGAGTGTTTTGTCCCAGCAACCAGAAAGTAACTAAGACACTGAGTTTTATTGTTGTTTAAGGTTTTTGTTTTATTTGAGCATTGAACCCAAAGCCTTGTGCATGCTAGATATGAATTCTACCTGTGAGTTATAAGCCCTATGTTCTACCACTGAGTTTTTTATTTAAGAGAATAAAAAAGAGTAAAAATGACCAAAAACATTAGAAACAGGGCCGGCCAGATAGCTCAGCAGATTAAAGCACATGCTCAGGCAGAGCACAGCAGCCAGGGTTCGATCTCCAGCACCACAAGTGGTGCCGGCCCCACCCCCCAGGAACGCTGAGATAGCAACAGACTGGGCACTGTGGCACATGCCTGTAATCGCAACACTTGGGAGGCTGAAAACAGGAGGATTACTATGAGTCCGATCTGTATAGTGAGACCCTGTGGATCTTGTAGTAAATACAAAAAATTAGAAACAATGTAGAATTTCACTAAATAATATGAATTCAACTTGGTTGTTATATTACATGATGTTGCCTTCAAATTGTTCTCTTCAGTTCTTGATTACCAGATAAATGTAAGCATATAAAAAATTATTTTAAAAAAAGTTATAAAAACTTAAAATGAAAAAAAAATTAAGCATTAACTTCTCCTTTCAGTAGACTAACAGAAGAGACAGTGAGATAGTTCAGTGGACTAAGCACCCACTTAGGCAAGCGCAGGGACCAGGGTTCGATCCACAGCACCGCGCCAGCCCCATGCTGAGCTGGCCACCGAGTATGGTGGCACATGCCGGTAATCCCAGCACTGGGAAGGCTGAAAACAGGGAGATCACTATGAGTCTGAGCTGTGCAGTGAGACC